GCTTTATAAAAAGCAAACATGACAAGGTCTAAGGTAAGATGAGAGTATCTGTCACAAGAAACTTAGTTTGGCTGGTAGCTTGTGGGAGGTCACTAGAGAATCAGGAGGTCATCAGGCCTCATTCACAGACCCCCACTCTACTGGTCCATTCATCCACCACCGTCTGTTACACTCCCAGTTTTACACAGGAGACACAGGTGTTTGCCAGAAAGGCAGCCAGGAGCTGCTAGAGAGCTTCCACCCTGTGGTATGCCATAAACCACCTGAGAGCTCTGTGACTGTACCAAGCTGTAACAGTGGCAACTGCTAACTTCATCTGTGTGCAGGCTGGTGGGGGAAAGGGTTTTCTGGCTCTTGCAGGAGGTGAAAGCAGGATCTACTAACAGCTGGCAGAGGAGTGCTGCAGCGGGTCAGGTTGCAGGTGCAGGGTCAGGTAGATACAGGGTAGGAGAAGTGATATCTGGTGAAGAAAAGAGGTGAGGGTCTCAGGGATTTGGGGAGGGAGGCATATAAGAGGCTATGGTTTGCATGTTGCAGGTGGATAAAGTATGGTTTGTGGAATGAGCATTGCAAGGAAGGAGGGTACAGGATGCTGAGGGAACTATGGTGAAAGCCGAGAGCCACTTTCACTGAAGGTGGAGCCAGTACACAGCCCAGTAGCTGGTGTCACAGTCACAGGTGCCAGGAGGGAGGATGAGCAAGTTGGGTCTGAGAGACCCTGTGCCAGAGTGAGAGGGCAGGCAGGCAGAGTAGCTTGATTCCTTTCTTTCTCTGGCAAAACCCTGAGGTGGAGAAAGCCATGCCAGAATGTGACAACCAGCTCCAACCCACTGCCAACTTAGGACAGCTTAAAGTCGCAAGAAGAATCAACCAGCAAGTTGTATTGCTTTGATTAATACGAAAAACCAGAGTAACATGACCTAGCCTGATGGGAGGCAGGTTGTCTTCAGAAGCTGTTCTGATGGTGTCACCCTGCCAGCATCCCCAGCCCAGGTCCCAGTGGAAGAGTTGTGGGATGGCTCCTGGGCTCTGGCATTACTGGGGTGGGAGCTGTGGCCAAGACAGCTGCATCAGGGGCCAGGTTTCCAGTGAGCTGGCATGGGGAGAGGAGTCTTGCAACCTGAGCTAGGTCACTGTGAATGATTATTGAGGCCAACTGCAGTTGTAGTAGTGCTGCAAGTCTCAGCTCGGGCGTCAAGAGCCAGTTTAGGCACCAGTGGGCATGGACAGGAGGTTTCTGCTGGCAGTCCTGCCTGCTCCGTGGGTAAGGAGAGGCAGAGTACTGCCACCTATTGCCAGCACCTGGATCACAGACCTCGGCGGGAGGTGGTTCAAAGCTGTGCCTAGCTGGTTTTTTCTTGTCTTTGCCTCGGTGAAGGGATTGACACATTGTTCAAAACCCTTTAAATGGATCAGCACTTAGGTGGCTACAGTGCATTTTAGGTGAGTGCCCTAGTCAGTCTCCAACATGGAATAATTGGTTTTCCTTTCTGCGTTTTGCAATGTGAGTTATTCTTCCTTCCCTGCCCTGAGTTGCATGAGGTTGCTTTGTGTCTTGAAGCACTTGTGTTGCTCCATCCCAACCCAAAAGTACCTAGATCATTTACCCCAGCCCTGCATTGCAAGGTAACTGGAGAGAGGTGGAACCAGCAGAAAGGATAGTGTGTCTTTAGTAACTCAGAAATGATTTGTGAAAGGAGACAAAAGGGCAGAGGGAGGATAACAGATTGTCTTCATGGAGTGAGCAAGCCTGGGACATGGTATACATTTCTGAGCTAAGACTTGGGTGTCTGAATACTATGTTTTATAGGATAAGCAGCAAGTACACTTGCAGAGAGTAGGAAAGGTGTTTGTCATGATGTGAACCTGGAGGGATTTCTGCAGGGCTTTGAAAAGCCCTTCTTGGGCTTGATGAACTATGCAGCAGGCCAACTATTCTGAAGACCAGGGCAAGGTCATTCATAAAATTACCTGGCTGTCTCTGTGGGCTGTTCAGTAAGGACTCACTGTGAAATTGTGGTTTAAATGTAAAGCAAAAACAAAACAAGAAATTAGAAACAAATTCTGCTCCTTTTTCATCACCTACTTTCAAAAGTATATGATGGAGGAACTAAGATATCAATAATGGGCAGAGGTTAAGGAAAATACTCAGTGATGGAGGTACTAAGATATCACAAATGGGCAGAGGTTAAGGAAAATACTCAGATGAGAAGGTGAAAAAACTTTTTGTTTTAGAGGGAAGAAACACAGCAGATGTGACTGACCTGTCCCACTGATTATTTTATGTTCCCCAATCTTCTGTCTGTGATACAAAACTGTTGCAGAAGCCAAGTGGCTAGCCTGAACCAGATACTTAATGTGCAGGTGGAAAATGTTAGGTGAGAGTCGCAAAGGAAATTAATGACAAAGCAGGGAGTTAAAGCTGGGTCTCCAAAATATCAACCCCTGGAACCACCTTCTCTTTTAAAAAGTCCATAAAAAAGGCATGTATGAACCCCTGGAACCACCTGATCTTTTAAAAAGTCCATAAAAAAGGCATTAAACTGACAAAAGTAAATGGTGGCTTTACTGAAAACATTATTAACCTGTGGAAATCTTCTGTGCTAGGTGTCATTAGTTTAGAAACACAGTGAAACTCAAAAACAAACAACCGCCAAGAACCGATTTGACAGTTACATGAGCAAGAAGAATAGTTGTGATGACTTTGGCTAGGAGAAAACTGTAAAGCGTATAAATTGTGCTGCAGGGCATAAGTCAACTTCAGGCTGTCAGGAGCCAGGAAGAAATTTTCTCTATGAGAAGGTTATGTATAATTATCTTATCTATGACAGTGTTTCCTCCTTTGAAGTGTTTAATCTTGACCAGTGGAAGCAAGATAATGAGTCATGTAGTTTTGTGAAGTTTTTTTGTGAAAGGGACATTATCTGATGCCTGATGGCAATTCCTTCCGCCTGTTTGGTATCGCACCTTTTTCCAGGTATTACCCTGTTTGGTATCGCACCTTTTTCCAGGAAAATGTTCACCACTTCTTAAATGTCTCAAGCAAAAACGTTTCTGCTCCCTACCCTTCATGAAAAAAAATTAAAGACAGCAGTCCTTGACATGAGAAAATTATTCTTGCCATTCTTTCTAGACTTCTTCTTGCTCATGTTTGCTCTAGTTCTCCCAGGTGATTTTCCAGGAATGACCTCAAGGAAGCCCTTTATTACTGGGGCTGTAGCCCTCACTCATGTGTGTGCTCCTGTTTATGGTCTGAGCTGTCCATCTATTGCAGTCATGTCTCTCTTGTGCTGTCATCCCTGCCTTACCATCTCGGTGCTCTTTGGTCCTAATGCCAGTTAGATGTGTTATTTTTTGAAAGCTGTGTTGCTGCTCTTCTGAGTAATGATGGATTTTGTGTCTCTTACTTTGTATCTTGCAGGAAGAGCCAAGGAGCAAGTCCAAGATCTGTGCCAATGTTTTCTGTGGAGCTGGGCGGGAATGTGCAGTGACTGAGAAGGCAGAGCCAACCTGCCTCTGCATTGAGGTATGGGGGCAGCACAGGTTCTGTGTCTGGGACAGGTGTCACCACCATCAACCCCCCAGCTGGATTTCTGTCGCTGGAAGGATCCCATAATGGAATGCAGCTGTTTTGGAACAGCTGCAAATTCGCAGGAGCTCTTCAAACAACAGGACTGTTCCTAGTGTCACGTGGGGAAATAGTCCTGTAGGGTAGATATTGTCTGGGGCTCACAGCTGTGCTGCTTGCAGGACTGCCTAGGGTCTTTACATGCACAGGAGACTTGGCTGGAGGTCTTTTGTTGGGAAGGCCCAGTAGGGTATGGATATAAGCATATATAAGCAGCTGGATTTGGAGGGCACTCTGGGGAGGGTTCTGTGAGCTCCAACACAGCCTGCCCTAGTCCTGTAGGGTAGATATTGTCTGGGGCTCACAGCTGTGCTGCTTGCAGGACTGCCTAGGGTCTTTACATGCACAGGAGACTTGGCTGGAGGTCTTTTGTTGGGAAGGCCCAGTAGGGTATGGATATAAGCATATATAAGCAGCTGGATTTGGAGGGCACTCTGGGGAGGGTTCTGTGAGCTCCAACACAGCCTGCCCTGCATCTTTTCCAAGCAGCTGGATTTGGAGAGCACTCTGGGGAGGGGTCTGTGAGCTCCAACACAGCCTGCCCTCACTGGCATCTTTTTTGAGGAGGTTGCAAGCACCCTACTAAAAATCAGCTTTTGTAAAATGGAAATAATTGTGGTAGAATGCTGTGAGGATGAATAGCTTCATCCAGCAGGGAGCCAGAGATGATTAGAAGAGTCTTTCCCAGCTGTAGTGACACAGTTCTACCCATGCTTTCAAACTGTTTCTGCCAGGCTCCTGGGAATGGCCATGTGGCTCTTTGTTCCCACTTCCCTCAGAACCCGCAGCTCTGACGTAGCCAGCCTAGGCACTGGAGAGTGAAATGCCCCATTAGGAGGAAGAGAGTCTTTCACTCTGGGTTGTCTTGGCCAGACCAAAAGGGATACAAGAAAGAAGCCCACAGTCTGAACAGTGGCACTGGTGAACTCTCACTTCACTGCAGGTTGTGCTGTTTGGTCATGGCTAATGGCTTGTGCTGCATCTGGTTGCAGAAAGGTAGAGCAGAATCTACAAAGAGATGCAGTGGAGCCAAACAACCAGAGGTGCACAGACCAGATTGATAGAAACACCTCTGGGCAGCACGTCCATGGCACATAGAGCAGCAGTTGCAGAATTATGCACTGATTTATCTGCAGGGGTCTGCTTTCAGAAAGACTTCTGTCATGGGGGTGGTGATGGAAACTGGGATAAAGCGAAGCCTTTGAACCCACAGGCTTCCTTGTGCAGGTTTTTCTGGGGTGGTGATGGTGGGTTCAGCCTGTTCCAAACACCTTTGGGGCCAATGGGGCTGTGCCAGGGGCTTCTGTTGAGCTGAGCTGGTGGTGAGCCTCACCTGCCTCGTAAGCCTCCTAAGCTGTCCCAAGGAAGCAGGTAAAATAATGTCTTCTCTGGCTCTCTCACAGAAATGTAAACCTCACAAGAGGCCTGTGTGTGGTAGCAATGGCAAGACATACCTGAACCACTGTGAGCTGCACCGTGATGCCTGTCTCACTGGCTCTAAGATCCAGGTGGATTATGATGGCCACTGCAAAGGTAAACCTGGTGATGAGGGCTGGCTATGCTCAAAGGGAGGAAGAGTTGGAGGGGAAGCATGGAGGGGAGGCAAGGCAGAGGCCTCACCAACCAAGACCTTGTCCCACAGCTGCCGAGTCGGGTAAACAGGGCAAGTCTGCATAGCCAGGTGCAACTGAGAGTTCAGATCACCAGGCACGCTTGTGGAGATGAAGTAGGCCTAAAATAAAGTTATTAAATCAGATCTGTTGATGGTAACTGGCCAGTAATTGCTAGACAAGTCCATAGTGATGCAGTCTATAACAGGGCTGACATCAAGGTGGGAAGACAGTCACCAGGTCAGGGCCTAGATCAACAGGGTCTATGGCGGGTCTGAGAGTGGTTGCAACAGAGTACCTACAACATAACAATCCCAGGCAAGGACTAGGGGCTGAGACAGCTGAAATGCCCCCAGGCTCATGGCTACAGGGTGTGGATGGAGGCCCTAGGTGAGGCTGGTAGTGCCATTAAGGCCCTCATTAGTGCACTCAAAACCCTGACACCTCGGCCATGCTGGGATCTTGGAGCCATTGTGTCCCTGGGTTTCTGAGAGGGCACACTCAGGAGACCAGGGCAACTTCTTGCTCCTGCCTGCCCCTCTCTGAGCTTATGGATTCAGCCAGGTAAGTGTCTCAGTTTACCTGCTGAAGAAGGGTCATACTCTCAGGATAAACCCCCAAAGCCAGTACTAGCATCCATGTTCATGAAAGACCTCAGTAACTTTAGAGGCAAGGATTTGCCTCACTGGTGGGTCTGTTTAACTCACCCCCACACCAGCTGTGCAGTTTTCTTATGTTCAGACAGAATTCCATGTATTTAAATGTGTGCAGACTGTCTCTTGCCATGTCACTGGACACCATGGATAAAAGTCTGGTGCAGTCTTCCATATTTCCTTCCACCAGATTTATGAACATTGGTGAGATTGCCCCTGAGCCTTCTGTTCTTCAGTCTAAACTGTCCTTAGCTCCCCCTCAGGGTCCAGAGGATTCCAGTCCCTTAATTATATATGTGGCCCTCGTATTTCCAAAGACTCCCAGGTTCCTCTGCTTTTGCCCAAGTACTCATGGTGGGAAGAGATCCATATTGCTTTGCACTGCATCAGAAATGTCCTCTTCTGTCTTTTCATTAACAGAGAAGAAGTCTGAGAATCCAGCTGCAAGTCCAGGTAAGAAGCCAACTCCTTTCTGGCTGAGACCTCTGTATGCATTTGTGTGCACTGGGAGATGGATGGAAAGGTGTGCTGGGGGAGTTGCACAGCTCTGTGTAAAAGTCATTCCTCTGCACTGGCTGTAGCAGAGTCTGAGTTTGTAAATCAGCTGAAATATGATTGCCCAGCTCTTTACTCCTGGGTGACCTTTCAGAGCTCATCCATCTCCCAGGCTTTTCACTGCTCTGGGCTGTCTCAGGGACTCAGCATGGACAAGGTGCAATGAAACCCAGTTTGCCCCTGGGGACACAAACCATGCTCATCATCCGAACTGAGGGAAGGAGCACTCTTGCCTAGTTCATTGGTGATGATTGCCTTAGCACAATAACTGTGGAGCTGTTGTCCCTGGCTCCAAGAGCACTCTTTTTAAAGGAGCATTTGCTTTCAAAGTGATGAACTGATGAGTACAGAGAGACAGCACTACATAATGAATGGAGTACTCTTTTTAAAGGAGACTTTGCTTTCAAAGTGATGAACTGATGAATACAGAGAGACAGCACTACATAATGAATGTCATTGTCAGGGGAGTCAGAAGGTACAGTTGAACTGCCTCTACCATCAGCCTACGAGATCATCTTTAAGGTCTCTTCTAACTTAAATGATTCTATGATTGCCTAAATGATAAGACTCTGTGCTTGGTTTCTCCCCTTATGTATTGCCATGTGTACTTAAGACCACAGATTTTAGGGCCATGGTTTGTGCTTCATCAGGGGACCCTTTTCCCATTCATGGCCTCTAAGTGCCAGATAAGAATAAGGACCATGTCAAAGCACAACCACCACTTTAAAGCAGTTCTAAAGAAGTTCAAAATTAACATGCAGAATCCTTATAGATACTTTTTTTTAAATCTGTCCATCTGGTTGTGATTGTAGGTCTCTGAATTCAGAAGATCCTTAGTGTATGTGACATGAACACACACTGATTCCCTTTCTGGCTTCATTGAGCTCTGGGCAACTCACAGCTCACAGCTAGTCTTTCAGTTCTGCTTTTGAATGCATGGTTTGGTAGTAGCACACAAAGTGATATCCATGTAGAGAAACCTGTTACTGTGGAGAGCACTGTGAGTGAATAAGCCCAACCTGACCT